TATGGAGTAGCAAATGCAAGCCCGAATAGAATCAAAGTGTTTAAATATTTGTGAGACAACAATGACAAACCTGAAATTATACCCCAAATTTCCACCACCATCATCATCACTTAGTAATTATCAATTAAATGGTTATTCTAACTACAAAAATAGCTTCTGTCACATTGTTTTGTAAAGCGTTTGTTGAGCCTGACATTTCACATGTTAATGATGATGATGATGTCATCATCTTCATGATAAGCCACCTCATACAAGTATACAATTTGTAATATCTATTCACAGAGATACGAGATTTATTGTGGATCCCAATATACTACACTTTTCCCTTAAATTTGCTGATAACTTTGAATTTTGTTTCGGTGTGTATTAGCCTACCCTATTGATCAGATTTTAAGAATCGATTGATATTGGTAGTTTATTTTAATGTTGTACACATGTCCAATTTTGGGTCGGGCCAGGCCGGGCCTTCCCATCGGCCAAACTTGCCCAAAAAATATTTGGGCCTACATTTGCTTGCCCAAACCCAAATTTCGGGCCTAAACTTGCTGCCCTAACCCGGGCCGGGCCAAACTTGATCAGGTCTAAAAATTATCTTTTCTTTTCAAATTCCTTTTATTTTCAAAAGATAAACTTTTCAAATCAAATGTGTTTGGAACACGCTTTATACACACATACAATGTACAATACTAATTATACATGTTATCAAGTGTTATGTGAACTAACCTTGAGGAATTCACCAACGGTGACACTCCAGCTTTGTTTAGCACACCAAATTTGTGCTAGATGTCCTTTTTACTTCTTTTGCATTATTTTTTATTTGCCATATCTTGAAACTTCAACAACAATCAATTCAGCTTGACCTCCCAAGTTCAAGGCTCAATTTCTTGAATCTTTCTCTATTTAAGGGCTTAGTTAGTATATTTGCAATTTGATTATCAGTTTGACAAAATTCTAACTTTATATTGCCCTGTTCCACATTATCTTTCAAGAAGTGATGTCTAATGTGGATGTGCTTGACTTTTGAGTGTTGAACTGGATCTTTAGAAATACATATAGAACTTGTGTTATCACAGCAAATAGGAACACATTCAAAAATAATACCAAAATCCCTAACATGTTGCTTTATCCACAAGATTTGATAACAACAAGCTGTTGCAACTACATATTTGGCTTAAGTTGTGGACAAAGCAACGGTGTTTGCTTCTTGATACCCCAAGACACTAAACATGGTCCTAAAAATTATGCTATACCTGGTGTGCTTTTCCTGTTAACCAAATCACCTGCATAATAAGCATCAGTGTACCTAACTAGATCAAATGAGTCACTCTTAGGACAGAAGAGACCCAAGTCATCAGTTCCTTTCAAGTACCAAAGGATTTTCTTCATAGTTGTTAAGTGTGATCCCTTCGTTGGATTTGCTTGGAACCTGGCATACAAATCTACACTTAAAGATATGTCAGGTATACTAGTAGTTAGGTATATTCGATACATAGTCTGGTCTATGCTAGTTCCCATTAGGTCTTCATCCAATCTAGTTTTTGTTCCCATCGGGGTGTGATTGGTTTTGGATTTTCCAGCTTGTATTTAAGTTCCTTAATGTATTTCTATAGGTGTATCATTATCCCTTCTTTGGTTTGTTTGATTAATTGATTTGCAAACCAAGGCAGAAATTCAACTCTCCCATCATACTTATTTCAAACTCATCACTCATAAGATTAGTAAAATACTTACACAAAGATTCGTTAGTTGCACCAAATAGAATATCATCAACATAAATTTGTACAACTAAAAAGTATGTTCTTTTTTATTTTTAAAACAAAGTTTTGTCAATTTTTCCTCGTTTAAAGTCATTTATCAATAGCAACTTGGAAAATCTTTCATTCCATGCTCTTGGAGCTTGTTTCAGTCCATAGAGGGCCTTGTCAAGCTTGTAGACATGGTTTGGAATACTAAATCTTCAAAAAGAAAATCTCAAAAACCCCACATCCGCCTTGTTGCCATTGTTATTCCCTAGTTTTTTCTTTCCTTTGAAGGTCCTTTAATGGTTGCAACCCCATGTTAAGTTTAAGTAAATTAGAAACCCCAAGAAAATTCCTTCGGAAATTCCCCAGACATTTCCTCAAAATCTCTCTAAAATCCCATCAATCAAATGAAAACTCTTTTTTTTTTTCGCTTTCTAGATTGTGAAGAACTTAATTCCGAATTAAAGGTGAATTCAAAAGTTGGAAGAGGTAGATGAAAGGTTATTGTGTATTTTGATTAGGCGTAAGTGGGTGTGGGAAAGTAATGGGGGTAATTATGTCATTTCTCCACATAAGCTTAACCATGGTTAAAGGTTTATTAAAAAGTGTACTTAATGTCACCATTTCCTTAATAATAACCAATAATTAGTGATTAACTTTTTTTTTTTTTTTTTTTTTTTTTTTTTTTTTTTTTTTTTTTTTACAATTTACTAAAGAGAAAAAAGATAAAATATATTTCTCATTTTATTTAAAATTATCCTGCTTACTTCACTAACATTTTGAAATCAATAAAACCTCCTAAAACTCTGTGTTGGTCAAACCGTGTCATTTTTTTGTAAAAGGAGAGAGCACCTCCCTTAGATGGATTGTACTTTCCTTAAATTAAATTTGACTTTTTTCATATTGTTTGCAAAAGGCTAAGTTTTTAAAATTCAATATAAGGACCTATGTTTTTGGAAAATGTAATGTACAAGTAATTGCATGGGACTAACATTTGCTCTGGTGGGTTAATATTGTGTTAAATGGTTGGATTGTTGAGTCCAATAATCCCAAAGGAGGAAAAAAATTGGCATGTCCCAAAATGCGAAAATTCCAAAAGGTAATCTTATTTTTATACTTAACTTATACTCCCTCTGTTTCGTTATAATCGCAATAATTTCCTTTTATGTCCGTTTTAAAATAATTGTAACGCCTTATTTATAAGAATCCACTACTGTTTTATTGTTTCTCTTTCTTACTAACCCCACTTTCGCACATATTTTATTATTTCTCTTTCCTACCAACCCAACTTACACAACTTTTTTTTTAATTATTATTTCTCTCTCTTACTAACTATACTTTATATTACAAAAAAGTAGATGAAGCCCGGGTGATGCACGGTTTGTTTGTATTTTTTAAAATTAAATATTTTACTAAATATATATTTATCTAATAAACATTGTGATATCCGCTTGCTTACTACTTGAATTTTTTATTATAAAATAAATTATTAACTTTTTTTTTTCTTTTTCTCATATTTAGATAAAATTCGTAATATAAATAGATAATATTTTATTTTACAAAGTTTTGTATGTGGCTGGTCACACAGTGTGGCCGAGATTACTTGGTCAGGAGTTACTCGGTTGATCAAGGGTTACTCATTCGATTAGGGGTTATTCGGTCAGTGTTTGAGTGTGTCTCATCCGACCACATGATATGACCAACCACAAAAAAAAAACACGCTGATTTAATTTTTATAATTAATATAAAATTTTTGATCTAAAATAAATTAACAATTCTTTTTTTTCATTGGTTAAAATATAACATTTTCCTATGTGACGCTTTAAAATTAATCTTACATGGCATAATCCTATTGTAGCGTTTTAAAATTATTAATCTTACGTGGTGCTTTTTTTATTATAATCCTATGTAGCGCTTTAAAAAAACTAATCTTACGTGGCATAATTTGATTGTAGCGTTTTAAAAATATTAATCCTAAGTGGGGCTCTAATTATTTTTTTAAAAATAAAATCCTAGGTGGCGCTCTAAGAACTCGGGAAAAAACTACCCTTTATATAATTTTGTGCCCGACCGATGCCCAAATGATTGATAAAATTTTAAGATAACATTTTTACTTGAATGTTTAATACAGTCAAATAATTCGTTCGATCTGATAATGTAGGATATTTAGACATACGATATCATATGACTTATATTTATATAATAGTGTACTTTTTGTAGTTTTGTTTGTAAATATATATCTATGTTATTATTGACTTGAAATTATTTTTATTGAATTTAAATTATTTTCATTGAACTGAAAGTATTTTTAGTAAGCTGAAATTATTTTTACTGATTCTCTAATATTTTTTTTAAATAAATTGAATAACTATGCATTTTGAATGCGGCTAGCCACACCATCTGGTCGGACAAAGTAACCCCTATACAACTGACCAAATAACCCTTGTAATATTAATTGATTAACCTTTAACACTGACTAAGTAACCCCTGTCTATACCACTGATTGAGTAACTACTATAACACTAACCAAGTAACCCCTATAGCACTAACGAAGTAACTCTTGTAATAGTTGGTGACAATGTGACACGAGTTGGCCAACTACGTATAAAAGTTTGTGATTAAATATATTATATAAGGATCTTATTTTAAAGAACCTTTTAAAACGAATTTGATAATAGAAATAGAATTGAGTTATAGGATATTTATTTAAAGTTAAAATTAATTTTGTATATATATAAAATATTAGAATTTCTATCAATAATAAAACACTATACAACAATTTTATATTAAAAAATCTATCCAAAAATCCTTATTTAGCATCATATGTGTCACAATAATACCTATTTATCTCCAACGTGGCGCGACACTTGGCGAAAAACTGGAATGCCAAGTGTCGCTGCCTCGTGGCCTAGCTGCGAGACCGGCTTTATTTATTAGTAATATGATATGATATGATATTAGATTTCTTTCAGTCCCACCTTATAATTTTTCTTAAACTTTGTGCATGCCCTACTATTGTGATTATTACGAAATGGAGGGAGTAAACTATTAACCCCACAATTTTTTTTCTTTTTTGTACAATATTTTAATACTCCAAATACCCTAATTATACATTATTAAATTTAAGTTAATTAAATTGTATAATTATTTTTAAAATAAATTGTCTATAATTATTTAACGGTTAAAGTGTAACCCTTAAAAAGACCGGACGGAGTAAAAAACCGTAAGGAGAACTTTTTAAATAAGCTAGTTTTCCCTAAAATAAATCCTCACAAAAATAGAGGAGAGAGAAGCATTTGCAGTAGAAAAACCGAAGTAAATTTCCAGTCAGAGTCCAATCAGACCACTGACCACGCTTGAACTGGAGAAAGAAGAAGAGGGACTGTGCTGTGTTTTCTCCCTTCCTCTTCTCTTCTACTTCACATTTTCCCAACCTTGAAAATCACTCTACAACCAACAAACAAAACAACCTTCTTCTTCAACAACCATCAACATTCAACAATTTACAATCACAATTCATTCCACAACTTAATTCAATTATTCACTTTCGAAAAAATAAATGAGTGAGGAAACTAAACCACCAATAGACGCTGCAAAACCCGGCGCCGAAGATCGGAAACCGCCATTGATGGGAGCTGGTAAGCGGATCATTATTAAAAACGCGGATATGGCTGATGACATGCAGAAAGAAGCTATCGACATTGCAATTGCTGTACTATCTCACTCTCCTCTGTTGGAATTTGTGTTTTTTGTATAATGTTGGTTCCGATCTTTGCACTATGATGAGCAAATTTTGTGGAATTTTGTGTTGATTTGCTCTTTTTTGCTTTAGGTCTTGATAATTTTAAGTTGGTAATTTTGAATTTTATGGAGCTTTTGTTTACTGTGATTTTGATTTTGATTTGTAGGCATTTGAGAAGGTTAATGTTGAGAAAGATGTAGCGGAGAGTATCAAGAAGGAGTTTGATAAGAAACATGGTCCTACTTGGCACTGCATTGTTGGTCGCAATTTTGGTAAATTTCTCTTGTTTAGCCTTATTTATTTATTTATTTATTTATTATTATTATTATTATTATTATTATTATTATTATTATTATTATTATTATTATTATTATTATTATTATTATTATTTTCTTTTTTGATATGATTGCAAGCTTTTGAACATGATTGTCTGGGTTTATGGTTAGATTTTGATTGTAGGAGACCTCGTAACGATATTCACATTATAGATGAGAGTATTGTATGTCTTTACTACCTTTGATTTTTCAACTAGATCAAATGTTGTCAATCTAATAGTGGTGGATTGGTGGTAATTGACAATTGTTTACTCACATCACCCAATTAGAGGTTGGTTACATGATGCTGTTTGGTGCGTTGTCACTAGAGCAATAATTTGAGGGGCTGGGTCGGGGTGATTGGGCGTAATAGATGGTTGGCATGTAAATGGGCATCTCAAATTGTGGTACATATTGATCCTTGTGTACATAAATTATGTGAAATTAATATGGCTATTAGATACGGATGTTCTCAAAATGTATGAAGGTGGTTACTATCTGTGGTCAGAATGCTGCCTTGTTTAGTTGTCTTAAAGAAGGCTGTGATTGTGTTTTCTTTCCTAGTGCATTTCTATCCTCTTGGCGTAAAAATTGATAGTATACAAGTTACTGTGCTTTATTTGCTGACCTATCCCAGTCCTTCAATCTTTATGCCTCTTGGGATTTTTGACAGTTTGACCTTTTGAAGGTCTAGTATGGTGCTGTGCTCTATTGGTCTATAATTGGAATAGAAACTGATTAAACAGCTTTATGAAGTTTAATTTCTGAATAATTGACCAAATGGAAGACAATAGGAAGACCTAAAGCAAAAACCTGACTTGAAACTGCATATTAAATAAATAATGTGAGGATTATCATTGAGTTATCTATTTGTTGTTATTTTGGGTTGGTTATGGGCTATTTTGATACGAAGGTTTGGATGGTAAAGGACGCTTGACATGCAAGGAAGCTTCTAGGCTTAATCTTAGTCCAATTAGGATAAGACATATCTTTATGATGTTTTACTAGGAGTGCTACACGATTATACTAGTCTCTTAAGGATTGAATTTTACGAGTAGCAAAAAAATTATATTGTATTATTATTAGGAGTCTTAGTCTAATTAGCAGTTTATTTTTAATGTTAATTAGGATTCTTTGTTAGATTATTCTAGAATTTATATTGCCTATATAAAAGGGGACTTAGGTTGAAATGTAACAATTTATTTTTAGTAGAGTAAATTGAGTTTTGAGTTATCATAAAGACATGTAAACTTGTGAGATGCATGTTCATGAGAGTATTTTCCTCAAAATTGGTAGCTTAAGCAAATTGGTTCCCTAGTTTTAGTTGGTCCCAAGATAGAGAGGCTTATTCATATCAATAACCTGAAATATGTAATCATTGATGAATTTTGGCCAAGGATCATGGTCAAATTTGGTAAATTTAATGACCCAAGCTCTAACTAATGCCCAACAGATATGATTTGTGGAAATGAGAAGAAAAAAATGTGCGTATACCAATATGATTTTTAGAAACCATGACTGCCTATCATCCTATACATGGGAAATTCTCACATGAGATCTTTTAACTTTTTTCTATCTTTTTTTAAATGGCATACATTTAGTCTTTGGAGCTAAAGTTTGAACCATGGAAAAAGTCAATTGTTATAAAGAAAGAACAAAAAACAAGGAGGTGATTAATTTGCTCTCATCTTTGCAAAATCTACATATGCTAAGGTAGTTGAGTTTTCATTTTACTAATAATCTCATTGGGATCTTTTCCTTGGTTCCTTCCTTACGAAATGATGACTTTTAACTTCCAAGCCTTTTAAAAGAAAAAATAATAAGAAATTCTACAAGGTGGCCCCCTTAGTTTTTGCAATTTTTGTTTAGTGAAATAATACAGTAACCCCCTAATTATTTTTAAATCTACTTAGTGCACTGATTGTCATTTAAAGGGCTAACTCATGCTTCTATCTAACTTTAATGATTAAAAAGACTAACCTACCCTTAAAAAACCTCTTTATCCTCCCTTAAGCAACCACCCCTTTCTCTCTCTAGTTAGTCTAAACTATTGTTGATGAAGACATCATCATTCGGCAAGTCCACAACAACGATAAAGACCTCTTAAATGCCTATCATCAATTCTCTCTCTTCAAATTGAAGTTTAACAAGAGCTATTCATCATAGAAAGAGCGTGATCGACGAATCTCTATGGCCCTGCCATTCTAAACATCATTATTGCCTTGATCCTATTGTCATTCACAGTGTTACGATTGTTTTTGGGTGAAAGGGGGTGGTTTGGGCATGGTTTATGGGGAAGGAGGTGGTTTTGAGGGTGGTGGGATGGGTTTCGGCCGAAGGGGGTGGTGTCGTCTAGACAATGGTGATGGTGGCTCCACGAGTCAACAATGGGGTGGTTTTGATGGCCTAGGTGGTTAGGGGTAGGTGGTGGTGTGGTGTTATGACCCTTAACTAAAGGGTGGGCTAGTAATTGCATCCATTAAGGTTGAACAATGAGCCATAAAAGCGTGAATTAGCCATTTTAATGAATAGCGGATTAAGCGGGTGTTAGATATGTGGTAATAAGAAAAAGGTAAAGGGAATGAACCAGGCTTATTCCCTTTGTTGTTGTTTGTTTGCACATTTTAATCATTCCATTTACCTTATTCTTTCCCCCAAATACTTCTACTTTGATTCCCCAACCCCCACTATGGTATTTCCATTCCCTTTCATTGTGTCACCAATGTACCACCACACCACCATTACTCCATTATTACTACTCACCAAAATGGCCCCATGAGCGCGGGGAAATTATGTCGTTGACTAACCTCCTCACGGCCAAACAAAATTTATTATAATCCTAAACTAACCCCTAAACAAGTCTAGTGGTAAGTTCGGAGTCGAACCACAAGGAACGGTAATGTTGGATTGTTCTCGATCTAATGCTTAAGCTACGCCGAAGTCGGTTTATGGATAGTGGACACTACAACTACACTAACACACATATAAAGATCAAGATATTACAAAGTCTACTAGGGGCAAAGATCCACTTTGAACAATTAACAAGTTAATGGGAATCGATTTGATAATCAATCATGCAAAGAAAGAATTAAAATGGGAATTAATTACCATCAAGAGCAATCTCTCAAATTCCTAGCCTAGATCCCTCATTGACTAGGTGCATAGAAGAAATTTACCCAAAATGCAATCAAATATATAAATTCTAATTCACAATCCCTTGTCAAACTAGAACTAACATGCAATTAAGTTTGCTATCTTGGGAGATCAATCCAATCTAAAACAAACAACATGCCATCATCAATTCAATCAATTTAATCACACAATTATCATCAAATTTATCTCAAATAACTCAATTAACCATAACAAAGCTTCACTCAACACCTAGTAGAAGGAAATCTACTCAAACATGATTAACAAAGAAATTAATAAAGCATAAAGAGAGATGAGAGTAAGAAATGCTCATTGATATAAAATGGAGATCTTCAAATCATCAAATTCCTCCTTTGATTATCCAAAATCCATGAAAACCATTGTTTCTCTCACTTTCTCTCTCCAAAATTTGAGAGTTTCTCTCTCTAAAAACCTAAAACTAACCTAAAACTACTGAAAATATGAATTTTCTCCTCTAAAATGAGCAAAAAATCTATTTATAGCCCTTACTGAATTGCCTAGGAAGCTCCGCAAAAAGTCGAGCAGCGCGTAGAGGAGCGGGCGTGCACCCCTCAGGAGCGGGCGCTCCAAACCTTCTGCCAAACTTCAAAATTGCACACCCTGTGAGGAGCGGGCGTGCGGCCTTGAGGAGCGGGCGCTCCTGGCTGCGGACTGGGCAAACTGCTCAGCTTCAAATGAGCATATCTCCCACGTTTTACATCGGAATTGAGCATATGACCTGTCGTTGGAAAGCTCTCAAGATAAGCTTTCATCTCCGATTGGAATCGCCCCAAAATGTTTTGTAGATCAAAAGATATAGGCGTTTGAAGTATGATCTTTGCAAATCAAGTGCACATTTCTTCATTACTTGTTCTTTTATGCTTTATATTTCTTCAATCTTGAGCAATGAACTTATCCAAGTGTTCCTAAACATAAGAGTAAACCAATAAAGTTTAATCTAATGTCATAAGCCACCAAAATATGCAAGAAAAGCCAAAATTGAGCAATAACGACATTTCACACATAAACATGACAAATGTAGTAAAACGTTATTAAAACCAAGTAAAAAGATAGAAAAACTATGAAAAACTAACTAGAAAACTCCTAAAAATAGCGACATAAATGACACTTATCACCCCACCACTGCCACTTACACCGTCAATGCTTGACCATCGATTCCCTCACTGGAACTACCCCTGACGTGTTCCACCACTGCCGCTTCTACCCAATAAGAAAAATACCCTTACCTACCCCGAAATGAAAATTCCCACCCACCCAAAACCTTCCCCATCCACCAGAATCCACTCTTACCCACCCATAAATCACCCTATCTCTTTGGAAACCCACCCATACCCACACATAACGAACATCATTTATCCAAAAGCCCACAAAATAAAAATTTGTAAAGAAAAAAAATCAAAAGTAAAAATGAAAACATACCTTTTTCTTATCATTAATTATGGTTTTAGATGGTTAAATTCAACCATAAAATCTCCAGATTTGGAATTTTAATGGTAAATTATGACCTTAAAACCTCAAATATAGCACTAGTGGGGTAAAATAGTTAAGAGGATGAAAAAGGAGGATGGAAGTGCGGTGGTCGGAAGTGGGGCATCGGGGTGGTGGTAGGAAGTGGGCGGGTGCTACCCTAGGGAGGGGGGTTGAGGACACCACATATCAAAGGAAGTTACTTCCATTCTCCTTCATTTCCTTCTTTTTTTTTTAAACTTATTTTCTTACCTTTTAATGAACCAAACGCCCCCTGAGTAGCATAGAATAAAAACTCACCCTTTACATCGCGATGCGGC